TCTCTCTCTCTCTCTCTCTCTCTCTCTCTCTCTCTCTCTCTCTCTCTCTCTCTCTCTCTCTCTTTCCATCTCCCCAAGCTGGGAGCTGCAAGCCGTTGGCTAGCCAACTTTAGAGCCCAGGCCAGCCAGGCCAGTTGGAGATGGGCGAGCGAGGCCTGGGAGCAAGCGAAGGCGAAGGTGGGGGAAAAAAGAGGCTGGGGGCGTTCCTTCTCTCCCCCCCCCCCACCCACCACCCCAACCCTTTGGAGGACTCCGCTGCGAGAGAGCCTGCCTTCCCCAATTTGGGAGGGCGTGAATAGCCCAAGCCACCAGCCACCCCATCCCAGGGACACGGGACGCGGGGGCACGGGGGGGGGGGAGGAGGATGAGGTAGGTTGCTCTTTAGAGATGCCCTCTCGCTCTTTGCCTTGCCACTTAAACGCCTTTATATCCCTTCTGTTATTTTCGGGTCCCGGAAAGAAATTCCGAGAGAGGCCTTCTTTGCGCCGCTGAATGCGGGGTGCTGGGGGGGGGGGGGGGTTTGAAAGCAGGCTGATTTACGGCGTTTTGATCGAACCGAGTCCCCTTCCCCCCCCCACTCTCCCGAGTCTTGGCTTTCTTACTACCGGCACCCGGCATGAAAGAGGGAAGCCTCTGGCTGATAAAAAATTGGAAGGAAATGTGCCTTTCTTTCCTTCTTTCCTTCCTTCCTTCCTTCCTTCCCTCCCTCCCGATTCCCGCCTCCTCCCCAGATATTTAGCGTCTTCTCTTTTCGGGTTGCTGCAGGGTTGGTGCGAGCGCGCTTTTTTTTATTTTATTTTTTATTTTTTTGGAATATTTTTGTTGTACCTTTCGATGGGAGGACGTCTTAAAAGGAAGGGGCGGCCGGAAGCTGCACCCTGGACCCTGGGCTTTGGGTGGCTTTTTTTTAAAAAAAAGAAGGGGGGCGCAGGAAAAGGGTCAGGACCCCCGCCCGCCTTGCAAAGAAAGGGCGTTTTGGCTCAAGGCAAGGATCAGAGCGGCGATCTTTGAAAAGAAAATTGCCAACGCCGAGGACACGAAGGCCGGGGTGTGTGGGGGTGTGTGGTTGGGTGATGATATCCCCGTCTCTGAACGAGAGATGCTCATTAGAAGGGTGCGAGACCTGTGTCCTCTCTCTCTTCAGAGGCTCGCCTCTCTCCCCTCTTCCCCCTCCCTCCCCCCCTCCCTCCCTCCAGCCACCCATCCTCAAGGCTCCGTTTGCATTGTATCTTGGCTTCCTAGGATGAATTTAGCGTCTCTTTTTCTAAGTTGATGGCCTCTTTATTTTCGGCGGTGAGATTTTGGGTCAACTTACCCTACTTCCTCAGGTCTTGGGCTGTTTCTTTCCCCACCCCCCTCACCCCACCCCCGCACAAGATTACCTGAAACTGGGCAGTGGGACCAGCCCTTCCCTCTTCCCCCTTCATTTAAACCAGACAATTCTAATTTTTCCTTCTTCTTTTCTGTCCTCCCACCGCTCCAACCCATCCAGGTCTATTAAACTTCTCACAGTGCAGATGCCCAGAGAAAGGTAGAGAAAGGATTTTAATACCTGGTCCTTTGCAAACAAACAACAACAACAACAAACAAACAAACAAACAAAAACCCTCACAGGCCAGATATTTTTCTTCTTCTGTCTGCGACCGCTCCTCCCCACCCCCCCAAAAAATATTTTCTCCTCTGCAAATGTAAGAGTTTTTCGAGTCGATCGTTTTCTTGGGGGGGAGGGGGTATAGGGGAGAAAAATCGTGCGTG